AAAAATATTGCAGTGAGAAGGCCTGTCACAATCATTCGAAGCTAATTGTTTTTTTAATTTCATTTATTTTTATTGTACTTCTTTGGAAAGAAGGCCAGATATTGTTGATATTCAGCTTCCAACTTTCACAAATTACTAAAATGTGTATTTTATTGGAATCTCAGAAAATTAACGAAGAAAACATTTTGCTCTCCGAGGTCACTAAACCAGAGTTGACTGACTTCAACCTCTTCATTTGAATTTTTATCAATTATTACTCATTAAAGAAACACATAAAAACTTACATAAAATCACACATGCCTCTGGAGTCGTTCTTAATCAAATAATGATGCTTTTCCTGGGCGCCCATAAAAATCGATGGCCTGTACTTCGCTGAAAGCTCTTGTCCAAGAGCTGTAAAAGCAAAGGAAAAATTCAGAGAACTGATTAATACTGGTTCATTAATATATACACAGTATGAAGTATATTGCAGAACATACCAACAGAGAATCTACTGAAAAAATAGCATTTCAGTTCAGTCAACACCTTTTGGAAATATTTTTATGTTGCGAAAGTGTGCGCGCGCGCCCATACACAAACACACACACAAACAAACCAACCACACACACACACACAAACACACACAAACCCCGTGTGGTGCCGGGTTTCTTTGTAGAAGTAGTCCATGGCCTTCCCCTGTAGTAAGAGGCCGACTAAAAGGAGCAACTGTCGCTGCCCTTTCCCAAATATCCTTACTTTCCCACTAGTTTCTTCCTTCCCATCCCACAAGACCCGATAGGTGACTGAGTAGCTTATGGATCTTTGCCTCCCTATCCCACGAAAAGTCCCTTCTCACCTTCCTCCAATATCATTTCTGCGTGGGTAGCATATAAAACGCTAAGCCAAGCGAATCGCTAAGCTAAGCAAGCGGCGGCAAGATGGAACGGTTAGCTACTTGGACTGTTGTACCAATTGGCGGTTCCAACCATCAAGCCGTGATTTTTAGGGGAAAAAATCCTTCGTACGCCTTCCTCGGAGGAGTAACCGCTGTCCCCATTTCGTAGATTACTTGCATGTAAAAAGATCCTCAGCCTAAATGACGCCTCTGAGCTAAATTCAAATCGCCTGTTTCTCGCCCAAGAAATACCTCCTTTCTCTCCTAGTTGGTGAAAAAGCGTAGCGAAATTTGCTGTCAGACGAAAGCGGGCTAATGCCCGCAGAGTCTTCGCCACCGTAAATAAGCAATTCAATTCAATCTCTGCAACCGATTCTGTCGGGTGAAGCCCGAGGTCGTGCCGGTTCCAGGATTTGGGGAAGCCAAGCTCACAAGAGTGTTTGGGAAAGAATAGGAGAGTGAAGTTTTCTGGTTGGGAAGAAGATCTGGAATCTCCTTCCCTTTTGCCTGCCAAGGAATAATGTCCACGGGCATTAAAGCGTATGGAGTCCATCCACTTGATGAATGGTAGACATGGAGGGATCACTATCTTTAACTTAGAAGAGGAGCGGAACGCAACTTCACGCAGACATGGGGTGTGACCTATACATGATGTTATGGGGGCCATCGACAGCAGCGCAGAGTTGCAGCCTGCCAGTGAACAATGCAATGACCCCGAAGACAGAGGGGCGAACCGCGACTTCGCCGCTGACGTTCGGTAATTGACGAATTGATGATGTTCGTATCCTCGCCGGCGGAGTTGCGGACCGCATTGGAAAACGAATGCTGAATTGGCCCGAAGATGTGGAGGTGAGACGCAACATTCACCGCAGACAACTATATTGGCCCGAATGCTGATGAGTATGTGGCCCTCGATCACGCACGGAGTTGGGACCGCAGCAGGGCCGGGGATGACGAACGTCGTCGAGAAAGAGACACGCTGAAACTACGGAGTGGCAGAGAAGAAGCAACGAGTCGGCTCAGGAAGGAACTAAAACATACTAAGTTGCCAGGCACTGAACAACCGTCGAAGACCAACCATGCAAAATAATGAAATGGTAATGGATTGGCATGTCGAGGAGAGACCGAGGCCTCGATAGCCGCACTCTTATCGCCGCGATTTTGTTTTATTGTTAAGCAAATCATGGAGCCCTTCGTATTGCTGACATTCAAGCAGATCAAGAGCGAACCCTATCTCTGAAAAGCTGCTGGGTGAGAACGTCGCAAGTGAGGAAGTGTGCACCCGGATACTGACGGTGCTGAGTTGCAAATCTGCAGCAGCTCCGAGATATCTGAAGTAATCCAGAAAAACTGGTGGTGAGTTACCAAGATAACGAAGCGGAAAGACGGAAATGACGAAGCGGAAGAAGACGGCCACTACGTCAGGCTGCAAATGCGCTTGAGCGAGTGATGCTCTGCAAAATAAGAAAACCACCTACGGGAGTTTCACGTGCTCCGGTCTTACCAATAGCGTGAAAGCAATGGATAACAGAAAATGAGAGTCCTCCAGAAAATTTAAATCATGTGAGGCGGCCCAGGCCTTCTCACCAGAGGTGCGCAAATGAATATGATGTTGCATATCTGCGACAGACAGAATAATTCCGGTCTGCAATCCTGGGTTGGGATTTCGACTAAAACCTGCTTTGTATGATGCGGAAATAAGTCCATTCCAGGATGTTATGCAAGTTACCCAGGGGATGACTTCACCCTGGTATCAAGGACCTGTTCGGTGTATAATTTCTATTAGTATTTATGCTGCACCCAGTGTATCGCTTTGAGGACTTTGAGGAATTACTTGATGCTATAATAGATACGCGAGGAGGAGAACGAAGCTCTATATTATTGCTGGGACTTTAATGCACGGCCACGTAGTTGGCACCAGAAAAACGAAATCGACCGGGGTGGCTCTCCTGGATAGCCTTGTCATTGATTCTGCCACTTTGCAACACTGGGAAAACCTGTCCGACCTTTGAATAAATGGTCGCCAGCTCGGTCGTATGACCTAACTTTCGTTGTAAAACCTTGCTAGACCGATTATCATGGGAGGTATCACCATTTATACACTAAATGATCACCAAGCTATTGCAATGAAGAAGAAAGAGCGTGCAAGTGAGTCCCAGCAAGGGGTAGAAGGAAAGCTTTTTGAACCTAAGAACGTTCTAACGTGAGTCCTTCATACCCATGGGCAAACTCTGAAGATATGGTAGAAACCAATGAACCGGTATTTACACTTCTTGATGCGTTTAATGACGAAAGATCCAAGGAGAGAACGCCGGCCTCCATGTACTGGTGACTACGAGACCGCAACTCGCAGAGAATGCCACGAAACACGTAATTTTGCACTTTTAAAGAGCAGCTTGGACGCCAGAAGAGCTTTCACCAAACCATTAAGACAGTAAGTGTGTTGAGAGAGCTGTTTGCGGAGTGATTGCTGACCCCCTGGGGCGCCCGTGTAAGCGATAACGCGCCAGACTCAGGGGTATGTCACGCACCCCACTTGCCCGGTTTTCTTTGGCAAGAGTTGAAGATTACCTTATTTCCCTCGCCAGGTAATATGAACACCTTAGGAATCAGTCTTGAATATTAGAGAGGTTCCGCACTCACGTTGGACTGTAACTTTCCAGAACTTGCGCAAAGTCCAAGATTGCAAAGCCCCCGATTAGATGGGGCTACCAATATGTAGCATTAAGCTCAAGAACGGAAGGCCAGAAGCGCAAGAACATGAATTCGCTGACGATGTTGCAATTGTATAGTCGCAAATTACACCGAAGAAGTCCGCAGGTTGCCAACGAGCCTGTGTCGGAGATCCGCGGTGCTACTTCAAAGTAGTAGGACTACAATGGACCGAAACATAAACAGAGGCCGTGCTTGTGACGGCGCGAAGATCAGGAATGTTACTTCTTAATGAAGGAGGCTGCAAAATTATCTCGCGCTGTCACTGAGATATTAGGAGTGCATATTGACGCGAGACTGCGCTTCGACGAAGCACCTGAGCAAATGTCTCGAAAAGCGTCTCGTATGCATCAGCATTTGCACGCATTATGCCTAATGTAGGGGTTAGCAAAGAATCGGAGGCTGCGACTAGCGTAGTAAATTCATTCTCCCGACGCAGCCCCCCATTTGGCTGATACCATGCATTCAGTCATACGCCTGTGACAAGTCGCACACGAAGGTCCGCCTTGCGAGTTGCTCGAGGGTTTCGCACTGTATCCTATGATGCTGTGTGGTGTTAGCAAATATGCCTCCTATCAACCTCATTGCGCAGGAGAGA